CATCCGGTATAGGCCTGCCCCTGTGTCCCCCTGACCCTCCTCTCACAGCCGGTATTCCCGTCCGGTATAGGCCTGCCCCTGTGTCCCCCTGACCCTCCTCACACAGCCGGTATCCCCACCCGGTATAGGCCTGCCCCTGTGTCCCCCTGACCCTCCTCACACAGCCGGTATCCCCACCCGATATAGGCCTGTCCCTCTGTCCCTCTGACCCTCCTCACACAGCAGATATCCCCATCCGATATAGGCCTCACCCTCCTCTCACAGCCGGTATCCCCATCCCTGACGTTGGCCAGGCCAGGCGCCTCCCCAAAGTGGTCCCAGCCTCTCCAGCCCTCGCCATTGCATTTAATCCCCTCTGCTCCCTCACTTGGTGGCTCTGGGGGCAGTTGGTTCCATCTCCCTTGTGCCACAGGGATGGAAGTGGATCTCTCAGACCCAGGCGACGTGTTCATGCTGCAAGAGGCCTTTCCTAGCTCAGGACAGCCAGAAAAGGCAGCGCCAGGCTGACCGGGCTGCTCTCCCCACAGCAGACAGGGACAGCCGGGCTAGCAAGATCCAAGCTGGCTCCCATCTTGGGGACGTACTTTTTCATGCTCAGGACAGTGGAGGAGGGGAGAAGTCGTTGGGGTCCGTCAGGAGCACAGAGCTGTGAGGAGCTGGGGAGAGATTGGACCTGCCAGGGGGATGGGCAGTGCCATGGCAGCTGGAATCCCATGTCAGTAAATACAAAGTAGTGATGGTGGGGGGTGCGCCTGCCCTGACAGGGCCCTCATTGCCCCCTCCAGCTCAGGGAAAGGGCCAGGACTCCCCGGAGGGGCAGAAACTCCAGCAAGGTGTCCCCAGGAGCTGAGTGCACAGTGCAGAGCTGTGTGGCCTCGTGGATACTGCAGGGCTGGCCCCATCGGGCCCAGGTGCAGCACTCAGGCCTGTGTGAGTTCATGGGGCTGGCGCTGCCTCCCGAGGTACCTCACAGAGGTAAGTTGGCAGCTAGCGCGCTCTGTGTGCTTTGGAGGAGAGCACTCGGCGTCAGCAGATCACTCTACGCTGCGGCGCGGCCCGGCCCACAGGCCAGTGGCGTAGCGAGGGAGGCTGGGGAGGTGCCAATTTAGTCCCCCTGTCATCCCTCGGCTTGCCTGCTTCTCCTCCCTCCCCCCTGCCGCCACCGGCTGGAGCCTCCTCCCTGCCTCTCCGCCCCCAGCCCGCCCCTCCTCCATCTCCGCCAGCAGGTTAGTGCATGCGGGAGCCTGGCCCCAAACTAGAGGGGGTGGTGGAAGATGCAGTACAAGCTCCCTCCCTACTCCCAGGGTCAGACTCAGCCATGCCCCAGGTTTGGGGCCCCACTGCGCGGCAGCAGCGGGGGGGGGGGAGCGCAAATTTTGGCTTTGCCCCCGGGCACATAACACCCTCACTACGCTGCTGCGCCAGGCTCAGAGAGAGGCGCAGAACTCCACTGCAGAGTGATTAATAGGCTAGAATGCCTGAGGAGCTGTGTGGATCATCTTGTGTGCCCTAAACCGGCCAGAGAACCTCTTCCACTCCTGTCTGAACAAGAGCCACCGGTCACTGAGTTAAAATTGCCACAGACTGGAGAATCCACCATAGACCTGAAGGCACCTCGAGAGTCATCGGGTCCAGTCCCCTGCCCTCACGGCAGGACCAAATACTGTCTAGACCGTCCCTGCTAGACATTTATCTAACCTACTCTTCAATATCTCCAGAGATGGGGATTCCACAACCTCCCTGGGCAATTTATTCCAGTGTTTGACTACCCTGACAGTTAGAAACTTTTTCTTAATGTCCAACCTTAGTAGTTTGTTCCACAAAGTTATTGTGGGTTTTTTTCATTGCACCTTATTTCCAGTGTAAATTTCTCAATAAAGCCACTGACACTTACCTTCCTGCTCTCTGGCGATTCTTGCCACTTAGTCTTGCTGGGCCAGCTGTCTGGTCTCCCCCAGCCAAAGCACAAAGCTGAGATCACTGCCCACCAGTGGCATAGTGAGGAAGGTGGGAAGAGGCAGTTGCCCCTGGACCCCACATTAGGGGGGCACCAATTTAGTCCCCCTCTGCTCCCCCTCTCACCTCTTGGCTCGCCTGCTCCTACTCCACTTGCTGCTGGCTGGAGCCTCCTCCCTGCCTCTCCGCCCCCAGCCCGACCCTCCTCCATCTCCGCCAGCAGGTTAGTGCATGCGGGAGCCTGGCCCCAAACTAGAGGGGGTGGTGGAAGATGCAGTACAAGCTCCCTCCCTACTCCCAGGGTCAGACTCAGCCATGCCCCAGGTTTGGGGCCCCACTGCGCGGCAGCAGCGGGGGGGGGGGAGCGCAAATTTTGG